TTCCGAAGCCAAATCATCCACTTCTCTACTTTGAAGAAGGTCCGTGAGATAGGGGACGAAGCGTCAGTACTGGTCAGTCATCTCATTGACCACCTTTGTATTGTATAAAAAACCGTGTTTTTCTTATTACCAACGCACGGACGAAATACTAAAAATGCAAAGAAAAAATGTACTGTACATCATGTTTAGATATATCGAATGATTTAATGCATCAGTTTATTAGTTTGAGGCAAAAATGAGGCTGATTCTTCTTGCATATTGACATTTTAGATAACAAATATTACGAAGCGGAGGCAAGAGTACGGTGTGATCGATAACGCTGTAGTTATTAAAAAAATTTAAAACTATATGTCACATACGATATGTTAAATTTCTAAAGGAGACGCAGCCCAGTTTCTAAATAAGGCAATATATTAAACATAAATGCCTAAAGAAGTGTTAGTTAGTATAATTAGGCTGTGGTTTGTAGGTATTTGGGTTAACGGTCTGATGTTTTTGATACGTCTGATCCCTCAGATTTTTGCTTACTGCAAATCTAGCCTGTCTGTCACTAAAGAAAGTAAGGTAAGGGGAATTGTCCATGATCGATTCTAGTGGCATGGAGTTCACAGAAGGCATAGGCCACCTCGAGGGACAGTTAAATATCAGTAAGGTAAACAGATTCGCTGTGAGTATATTGGACTCCGCATTCAATGTCGTAATCGATCAGCGCTTCCTTGTGTAATACGATGGCATAGTGTTTTAGTGGCGAGGTGAATGCTCCTAGAATGCGTGGTTTCGGTGTGGCAAACAAACGTATTTATAATACAAACGCTAGAAAGGTGTTAACATGCTTGGTCGGTCAGCTTCGGTGACGTCAGCAGGGACAAAATCGTCGTCGATTCTTACAAAACAAGACAGCAAGGTGGCAGGTGGCGTGTGAGGCGTGATCGAAAAATAGAAAATACTGTTTTCTGTTCTTTCCATCTGTTTGTGAAGTGCGATCGTTTTTAGGTGTCTGGCCTTGACCAGCGGTTTACTTGAAAGCACCGCTGGTGCGCTTTCGTCCCTTTGCCCGTTCAAATCCTTTGCGACGAAATTTGCCGACCCTACGGCTTCAGATATCACTCGACCGATCGACCTGCTGCGTTGTACCAGGCAGATGTTCAGGCAACAACGACGACAATTGCCAAGCAGTAGCAGATGTTTTTCTGTCGAGCGTCGATACGAAGAAGAGCGAGAACTGTAAAGCTGTTACTGTTGGCCGCTCTGTTAGTGATCGTGGTGTTCGTGCTGATCGTATGGACGCTGAGCAGCATGGCTGACAGCGAAACCTCGTCCTCTGAGCTCGACGGCCAGTGGTCAGTTTCCGAGCCGCCTGTTGACCCTGCGGACGGCACCCAGACGATGGGTAGCAACGACCACGAAAACGAACACTTGCCTTTCGACTCACTTGACGTCGACTACGACGTCCACGTCTTTTACTACCCATGGTATGGCAATCCCGAATACGACAACGGCTCATACTACCACTGGAACCACCGGTACTTACCTCACTGGAA